AAGGATATCAATCCTTGAACATTTGAACAACTCTCTTGGCTAGCTTCAAAGTCTCATACAACTCTTGATGGGTAAATAAATGTTGGTCAAATTTTGGGGTGCAACACCTTGGAGCTCTTGTTATACACTGTGTACACTCTGCTATTTTTGGAGTAGCCAAGGAATATTCCTTCCTCACTCTTGGGATCCATTTTTATCCTTTGCTCTCTATCTACCAGAATGTAGCACTTACTTCCAAAGACATGGAAATACTTGAAATTTTGCTTTCTCCTTTTCCATAACTCATACACGGTTTCTTTGGTTCTGAATCTAATGGTTACTTTATTATGAATGTGGCAAGCTATGTTCATAACTTCAGCCCAGAAGTAATATGGAAGTTTCTTCACATGTAACATAACTCTGACTGACTCTTGCAGAGTTTTGTTCTTCCTTTCTACCACCCGTTTTTAACGTGTGATTGGGGCATAAAGATCAATGTTAATACCTTTTGAAGCATACAATTCGTAGAATTTTGAATTTTTAAACTTAATACCATGGTCACTTATGATTTTAACAATTCCAATCTCTTTCTCTCTTTATAGAAGTTGACACAGCTCTTTGAATAACTCGAATATGTCAAATTTTCTCTAATGAATTTAACCTATGTGTACCTTCAGAAGTTGTCCACACATACAAAGACATACCTTTTATCTCCACGACTTTCTAATTATATAGGCCCCATTAAGTCCATATGTAATAGTTCAAGAACTTTTATGGTGACAAGATGTTAAAGCTTCTTGTGGGGAGACTTAGTCTACTTGACAATTTGGAATTCTCCACACACTTTGCCTTCTTCAATCTTGAGTTTAGGAAATCCCTTCACAACTTCTTCTGAAACAACCTTCTTCTGAAACAATCTTTTTCATGATCTTGAGATTAAGGTGACCAAGTTTTTGGTGCCAAAGTTTGGTATCATCAACCTTTGTTATCATACAAGTTGATAGATCCTCTTTATTCAGAGATATCCATAGATAAAAATTATCCTTTCTCCTTGAGCCTTTCATAACCACTCATTGATCTTGGATGAAAATGACACATTCTAATTTTTTGAATCTAACCTTGAGGCCTTGATCACATAACTGACTTATACTGATGAAGTTGGCAGTCAAACCTTGCACCAACAATACATTATCAAGGCTAGGTATACCAAAATATACCAGCTTTCCTATTCCATTGATTCTTCTTTTTGCACCATTACCAAAGGTGACATAGTTGTAAGAGTAAGGTTGTAGCTCCTAAGGATACAACCTCTATAGAGGACACTCTAAGAGAAGTATGAGTTATAAGACTTGTGACTTCCACTTCGGGTTTCCACACCTTCTTCACTTGAACCATCTCTTCTTTCCATTCGAACCTTGTCTGCCTATGGTGTTGTGGAAAACCATATAGTCTATAACAATTTGTCCTTATGTGTCCACATTTTCCACAATGATGGCATCTTCTATCATATTTCTTGTAGCTCTTACGATGGTGGTGCACATGTCGAGCTCGAAGTTAGAACGCGTGATCCTTTTTGTTCACATGGTTGTAGTCAAAGTTTTTTAGCTTCTTATCTTCCACTTGTATATCTTTTAGCAATTCAGCACCAATTATTGACTTCTCCTCATCTTCCATGATTCTATCTAACATGTATTGAGGTCCATTCAACATCCTTACAAACTTCGCTAACTCCTCCAGCTTGGATGTTAGCACAAAAATATCTTCACCCTGACTAGTGAGTGTCGTAAAAGGATTTTCATTTTTTTTTGATGAAGTTCCCTTATAATTTTCTTCAGATTCTCGATCTCTCTGCAAGCTTCTTCCCACTTGATGATCATGGGTCTATCAAATTCATCTATCTCTTCCTTACTTAACCCCTCAACATCAGACTCAGTTTCAGTAATATACTTACCAGAGTAAGCCTTGGAGATGCCAGTGGTTTCTTCCTTCTTTATCAGATTTTCAATACTTTTTGAAATGGGCTTTGGCATACGAGTTTCCGTTGAGATTCTATGAGCAAAATTGAGAATCTCTCATGCTTATTTGGCTTCTGAACATTGATTGATTAACCTTAACATGTTTTTATCAACCCCTATAAGAATAGCATTCAGAGCCTTGGAGTTTCCAAAGGCTCCATCACTTTCAACTTTGGTCCAATCAACCTTTAGTTTTAGACTAGTTGTGTTGTCTTCAGAAGTAACAACTAGATCTTTTCATCATTTTATCACAACTTTCCAAGTTTTATTTTCCAAGGATCTTAGAAACGCAACCATCACCACCTTCCAATAGTCATAGTCTATGTAATTTAAAGCAGGTGGTCTATTGACTGATCCTCCATTTTCATTGTCTCTATTTGAGCATAAATTATCTTCCATGGAGCTTACCCAACAAACTAGGGTGTCTGCTCTGATGCCAATTGAAATTTTGTTTCTCAGGGGACAAATGTCAAACTTGATGCTTTGACAACAGGTTCGATAAGATACACCAGAACCACTACACTAACAAATAATATATGATGGAGCAGAAAAGCAATAAAAAATACAATTAATTATTTACTCAGTTCGGTGAAACTACACCTACGTCTAGAGGCTGAGTCCACAACCCAAGAACAAAATTCACTATCAGTAGTTTAGTACAATTAAACTTACAAACAACAACAAATTATATGTTGTTCAATGCCTCTTCCTAACACCATTCAATGATTTTCTATTTAGAGTATCCCCCTAAATATGAAAATCTACTCACTTTCTTCTCTGCCACAAAACTAGTGATAGGGGCAAACAACCATTAAACCCTGGTGATCAACTTTAATATTCACAAGATGAAAGAATATTGAATATTACAACTCAACTAAGCAAACCTTCTATGCCATGTTACTGAAACTTAGAGGTGTACATAAGCAATGTTTATTACAACTCAACTAGACAAACCTTCTATGTCAAGTACTAGAACATAGAGGTGTGCATAAAGATTTCACGCTAATCCTCTTAAGGAATTAATGTGGAATACATGGCACAAAACCAAACACTTTAAGATCTTCAATGTGAGTGATTGCTTTTCAATATAGGTTTGAGCTCCTTATATAGCAAAGTAACTCTAGGCTTTTCTCCATAATTAATGCAGAATATGTTGGGTATTTGATTTGCTCATTGAATATCTCCAACAAGATATGATTTGTTTTAATTTAAATTCAAATATAAATCTTCATTTAAATCTTAATTAAACTTTGTCCAGCTATCAAACAAATTACCTAATCATATTGTTAAATCAATAACAATGAAATCTTTAACAAATCTTCTACAAAACATACTCCAAAATGCAGCATTTTGGTGTTTGTTGCACAAGGCCCATATATCATGCCAACATGCTGGAGCATCGTGCCCAACATGTGTTCTTTCTGTAGTTTCATACAACTTTAGCAAGTTAGACCAATCTTGAATACTTGAACACTTCTTCAAGTTGTTACTTTGCTAAAATGCAGCTAATTCAAAGGGGCAATCAATATTCCACTTAGTTTTAGTACCTCGGATGGAGCCAACATGGTGTGTCGTTTGAAGAAGGGCTTATATGGATTAAAATTGTCCCCTCAGATATAGTTTGGAAGATTCACAAAAGCAATGTTGTGTTTGGGCTATAAGCAAAGTTAATGAGATCACATTTTGTTTTTTTAAACATGCACAAGAAGGAAAAAGGATTATACTTCTTGTTTATGTTAACAATATTATTGTTATAAGTGATAATTTGAGTGCGAGACAACTACTTTAAAATAAATTTCTAACAAATTTTGAAATGAAGGATTTTGAAAAACTCAAATACTTCTTAGGAATTAAAGCAACCAATTTAAATAAAGACATTTTTATCTCTAAAAAAAAACTACGCGCTTAATCTTTTGCAAAAAAACAAGGAAACTTGAATATAAACCTACTTATATTTTTATTTAATTAAACCATAAGATGAGGTATGAGGAGGAAAATTCCCAAGTTGATAAGGGTCGTTATCACATATTAGTGGAAATTTTGGTTTATTTGGCACTGACTAGGTGGGATTTGACATATGTATTCAATGTCGCAATTATCCATATTCTACAATATCTCAAAAGTCATTTCAAAAAGCAGACTTTTATTTAAAAGAGATGAAACTCTAACTATAAAAACTTACATGGATGTTGACTATGCATGTTCATTGATTAATAAAAGATCATTTTAAAGTATTGTTTCTTATGTGAAAACCCTGTTAGCTTGGAGGAGTAAAAAGTAAAGTATCAAAACTAAAAGTAAAAAATAGTAAAAATAAAGTTTAAAATTTTTTGTTAAAAAGATATATATTTTAAAAATTCAATTTAAAAAAATCACATAATTTATTCCTCAGAATTTTTTGTTCGATTAGATTTTTTTGATTATAAACACTATTGTTAAGACTAAGGTGTGTTTGTTTCATAGATACAAAATATATTCCTAGAATTTGAAGTTGAAAATAAAAATGGTTATGTTTGTTCTGAGGGAATATGAAATTGTTTTGAAATTTTTTTTTATCTTTAGTGACTTTTTTAATCATTCTCATAGGTGTGAGAATCTTTTATTCCAACCTATTACTATCAAATTTTATGCTAAAATAATTAGCTATCTCTACTATTACTCCAAATACTTTTTATAAAAACATTTTTTTAGAATGTTAGACCTGAAATAATTGTTTTTGGATTAATTTTTTATACAGTGAAACAAATGTGCCTCGGAGACAACTGTCGGCTGATATTTTTCTTTTTTCTATATATATCCTGATTCCAAGTCTAATTGCGGTTCGGTGGCTGGTGCTACCAACCCACTTTCAAAGTTTCACTATTCACTACACCCACAAACACGTTCTCCATTCATCAACAATAACTACACTCACTCACTCCACCACTAATATTTTCAATTCAACCAACACTCATCCAAACACATGCTTCAATCTTCAACCTCTCGTTTCTCTCTCATTCCAACACCATGACGATTACTCAAATCTTCGCCGCTATCTTTCTCTTGTTCGCACTATACTGTGGTTTAGACCCATTCAACCACAGTGCCATTGCAAATTTCCCTAATTTTGAGGCAAAAAAGGTTCACATGCCAGCATGGTCTGAACTTCCTACCGATAGAGACCAACACAACTTGCTGCAAAACTCTCATGTTAGGTTTTTGAACCAAATTCAAGGACCTGAGAGCATTGTTTTTGACAATCTTGGTCGTGGACCTTACACCGGTCTTGCTGATGGTAGAATCTTGTTCCTCAATGATGAGCATAATTGGGTTGATTTTGCTTACACTTCGCCCAATAGGTACGTTACATCACAATTCCTTTCTCAAAATTGTTATCTTTTGTTCATTCTTTAGATTATAATTAGCATGTTTTGAATGTAAAATTAGTATCTTCTCCTAAGAACTTAAGTATATAAATCATATTTTAACATATTACATAAGATATAGTAACTCATTTCGTAGTTTTGCAAGGACATCTGACTCTAGGGGTGCTACAAGGACATCTAACTAATTTCGTAGCCATCACGATTTTGGTCCGTACAGGTGTTGTGACACTGACACTGATTGTTGTAGCTGTGATGTGAATTAACAGCAATTTGGTCTTTATCATAAAAATGATGGATAACGGTATCAGTATCCGCACATGCCAATACCGTTTTATCGTGGCCGGAGGCCGTTTTTCAAAACTTTGGGGGTGGGGGTTGGAACCCGACATCCCACTTATTCACCTTTATGATGTGAAATTCTGTTATGATTAAATGGTAATGACTTTTCGGGAAATTCCGTTATGATTAAATGGTAATGGATTTTCTTGTTTCTCTATTTCAAAAACAGGTCGTTATGTAATCCTCTTCCTATAGAAGCTGCAACACCATTTAGTTATGTGAAAACTGAACATATCTGTGGAAGGCCTTTAGGACTCAGATTTCATAAGCAAACAGGTGAATTGTACATTGCAGATGCATATTTTGGACTCATGAAGGTGGGGCCGGAGGGTGGCTTAGCAACGTCGCTTACAACTGAAGCTGAAGGGGTGCCTCTGAGATTTACTAATGATGTTGATGTAGATGCCGAAGGAAATGTTTATTTTACCGAAAGCAGTGAAATTTATCAGAGGAGGTATGATTTTGTTCTTAAACTTTTAGACGCTGAATTACATGCAACTCAACCTTTTGAAATTCTCATCATTTTGTAAACAAGGAAAGTATTCTATTAAAGTTGAAGCTACTATTTTGTCGACGCCGAAACGTTGGATCACAGTATAGCAGTGAATGCCAAGCTGTTATTATTTGTTTATAGAGTAATGACAGCGTAAGACGGGGTTTGCGACAATGGTTCATCTGGGACGGTTATTGAGTATTGACTCCTATGTGTCTTTGCATAAGTCGAGCTTTTTGTTTGTGTCTAACTTGAAGTTCTGAGTTCTGAAATATAGATATTGGATTGTTTCGTCTATTTTGTTGCTGACATAATTTTTTAACAGGAGTTTCATTCAGCTGGTATTTTCTGGGGATGATAGTGGCAAGGTTTTGAAATACAACCCTACAACAAAGGAAACCACTGTTCTTGTGCGAAACGTTCAATTCCCAAATGGCATTTCCTTAAGTAAAGATGGTTCCTTCTTTGTTTTTTGTGAAGGGCTTATTGGCAGGTCAGTAAATACCTCTTTAGCTAGCCGTCTTCTATTTTTTGGATAGAAAAACATAAGTGTGATAGTAATTATATTCTCATGTTAGAAGCATTGGATCTATTACTGAGAGTCCAACGGCTTATGTATAGCAATATTGTATCTCTTACGTCAATGAATATAGTTTTTTAGATAATTGGTTTTATCTTCAAAAAGGATAGTGACCCAGCTTGTTGCTAGTTTGCCTTCTATTCCTGTAGAATATTTTCTTATGTTACAAATCATGTGGATGTGTTGTAGAAACTTTTTTTATGTCAGAAGAAATCATGTGAATGTGTTACTTCTTTCAAACCAACGGTTTCTTACTTACTGCATAGGTTACGTAAATATTGGCTAAAAGGAGAAAAGGCTGGAACTTCAGAGATCATCGCGGTCCTACCTGGGGCTCCTGACAATGTGAGGGTGAATAAAGATGGTCATTTTTGGGTGGCAATTCACTGCAGAAGATCTATGTATGCATACCTTAATGGTTTATATCCAAGGATAAGGAAAGTTATACTCAAGCTTCCTATACCAACAAAGTTTCAATACCTGTTTCAAATTGGAGGAAAACAACAAGGTGTGATTGTGAAGTATAGTCCCGAAGGTAAATTGCTGCAGATATTGGAGGACAGTGAAGGAAAAGTTGTTAGAGCTGTGAGTGAAGTTGAGGAGAAAGATGGTCAACTTTGGATAGGAAGTGTTCTTATGCCTTTTATTGCAGTTTATAAATTGTAACTTCTTTTCTATCTTCAATCAATCTTCAGATAAGAGTTTGTTTAAGAGTTTGTTTTTGCTTCAATATTGTCAATAATGCGTATCTTATGTTCTCAATAGAAAAGAAATCCTTAGATAAACTTTGCTTCTATAATGTCTTGTTCTGTATTACCAACATGTGCAATCATTATCAATCAGTGTGTTTTAGTTTAAATCAACAAAATTAAGAGTAAATATTATAATAATCTGTTATTTGTTAGAATTCAACCACGATCTATTGTGAATTCTTCTCAATTTTGATTTTAAGATTGTTATATAATGACAATGAATAAAAACAAGAACACGTTTAAAGAAGATGAATATTAATTATAGAGTAACTCTCTGCCCACAACTGTGTAATTTTATTATCACTTTACAACTGTAAAAGCGTGATGATGATTACAATAAAAAGGGTTCCTCTTTCTATATATAGATTTAGGTTAACTTACATCTCAAGCTAAAGGGCAAACTATAAAAGCCTAAAAAATATCTAATCTAATATTTCTAAATTAAATATGATCTTTCTAAATCAAATCTAATTTTTCTAAAACAATCAATTACACATTTAACACACCATCTAATTCATTGTATGTAAACTATCTACATTCATCATAGACCTTAGTGTTAGTGTCAATCTTGCTTTAAATTTATCATTTATAATTGGCATTTTTCAACTCTTTTGTGTTGATTTATTGAAATTTCTACTTGAAAGTTTGACATTCTTCAATTGTTTGAAAATACCTTTGGTACATTTGATTTGTGCGTTATTGTACAGAAAGTAGCCATTAAATCATCAAAGTGTGAGACACAAGAAATTGGACAAGGTTGCCAAAGGAAGAGAATAATTTCAGTAAGTTCACTAGGCGAATTTGCTATCGAATGTTCGCTTTGCGAACAACTGGCGAAGAACCAGCGAATGCTCCTAGACTTGAGGTAGTAGCAAAAGGGATGTAAGTTCGCTGGACGAACAAGCCAGCGAAGGTTCGCTGTGGCAACGCGTCAACGAAGAGTTAGCAAAGCATCCCAGACTTGAGGCAATAGCTAAAGGGTCATAAGTTCGCTGTGCGAACTTGTAGGCAAAGTAGTTCGCTAGGAAAATAATCATTCGCACAACAAACTTCAGAGTTGTCTCAGAGGAGGTTTAACTATGCAGAGGCACATCAGATGCCTAATTTGATGTTCGCTAGGCGAATAATCTGTTCGCAGTGCGAACATGACAGATCCTAAATGTATTATATAAGTACTTTTGATCATTTTTGGGGATCATAACCTACTTTTACACACCAAAACCTGATTTTCTGAGATTTCTTCACCAAAGAGTGAGATTTTACACATAGAAGATGGATTCGCATCCGAGTTCAATTCTTCGACGTGAATGCTCATTCATCTCCTCCTGAAACTTGTGAAGCAAGCTACCATGGTTATGGGTAGCTAAGTCACTTTTGTGTCAAGATTAGTGGTAGACAATCCTAAATTTTGTATGTATTTCTCTTGATATTTTGTATGTGAACAAGTTGATGATGAATATATGGTGAAAAACCTTGTTTATATGTAATATTTGTGTTGGATCATTATTGAGAGATATGTTTCAACTATTGACCTAGCGTTTTCATCTTTCAACAAACAAAGTTTAGAAATAGTTTTGTGAGTTGATTTTCACTAATATCAAACCTATAAATGTTATCATATTGATAGTTAGGTTGAGAGATCATCTAAGGATCAATATGATAAAACTCACAATTTGTTTTAGAGATGAAACATCTTGAGAGGATATGTGAGTATATTTATCGTTAATGAGTTCACATGATTTATTAATAAAATACGTATGAAATGGATTATCGAGCCCTAATCTTGACATGTTTTTAACAATCGTTTTAAAACCAAAACTCTTTTACCGTTACTTATAACTCTTTATGCAATCATTGTGTTACGAAACCAAAACAAACATCTTTTATGTTCTATGTTTAAAACAATTCCAACTGTAGAACAACAGTAATATCAACCAATCCATGCGGATACGATAACAAAAAGCCACACTAATACTGTTTCAACAAAATGGCGCTGTTGCCAGGGATTGTTGTTTGATATTGCAAACATTGCAATAGTTGATAAGTTTTAAACTTTGTTTACCTCAATTCCTTTTTTTCTTGTGCTTCTTAATTTGTTTGGTTAAGTTTTGCAGACTCTGTTTATGCGAGGAAAGTTACATGCAGATCAACTTCTTTTCGATCCTGAGATTGAGAGAACTGCACGCAAGTTGAATACCAAAACTAGACGGAGGAGGAAACTTGCCAAGGAAAGACGAGAAAGAGAAGAAAGTTCTGCTTCTACACCAATACCACCGCCAAACATGGAAGATCCACCATCACCACTACCACCCCCTGCTTCAACACCATGTATCAACAGTTTAAGACACACTGCTCAGTTTGCGTGCAATGTGCACAACGGTAGATATTCGGAGATGAAAATGGGAATTCTTGCGCTTTTATACCAAAATCATTGTACTGGTATGGATCTTGAGGATCCGTTCACACATCTCACCAAATTATATGAGATTGTGGGTGCAACCGGAGCGCCGGAAGCTGAAGAAGAATAATTGTTCATACTTTGGTGATGACGGACTGAAATATGTTGAATGAAATATTCCTTAAACGATATTTTCCACACAATCGATTCATGGAAGCAAAAACGGAAATTTCAATGTTCGCTCAAGGAGGAAATGAATCTCTCAATGAAGCTTAGAAGAGGTTCAAATCCATGAATTTGAACCACTTTGCATTTTTTTGACATGGATTTGAATCTCTCCTAAGCTTCATTGAGAGATTCATTTCCTCCTTAAGCAAACACTGAATTAACATAAGTGCACATCTTTAGAAATGAGCTCCAATCTGTTCACAAAACTTTGTTAGACGCTACCGCGGGTGGATCGTTAATGGAAAAGAGTGCAGAAGATGTCGTAGCCATCATTGATAAGATGTCATTGAATGATCACCAAGGAAATCACAACCATGCTACACCTCAACGAAAACCGAGAATGATAGAGTTGGGAACAAATGACGCGATCCTTGCACAAAACAAATTACTTTCACAACAAGTGGAGTTATTAACTTAACAAATTTCAAAGCTTCCACAACAACTAAAAGAGATGCAAGAATTCTCAAGCAAGAATGTGCAAATATCTATTTGTGAGTTATGCAAAGGAGATCACCCCACCGGTTATTGTCCTCTGGTGAATGAAGAATCAAATTTCATTGGTAATCAAGGCTATTAAGGAAGACAACAACCTTATCAAAACAACGCTCAACAACCTTATCAAAACAACCAAGGTTACCAACAAAGAGGGAATAATCCTGGTTATCCACAAGGTTACCATCAAAATCCTTAACAACCTACACAAGTTCAAGGTGGAAGTTCAAAGTTGGAAGATACTTTCATTCAATTCATGCAAATGTCGATGGCCACCCAAAAGAATACTGAGGATTCAATCAAGAATCTTGAAAATCAAGTTGCACAACTTGTGAAGCAATTAGTTGATCAACTATCGGGTCCTTCCTTTTCCGCTAACACTCAAACAAATCCAAAGGAACATTGCAAGGCCATCTTTAAAATGAGTGGAAGAACAATTGGTGGAGAAGTTGAAAAAGAGGTGGTACTGAAGCTAGCAGGATTATACCTGAGTGAATCGCACACTCAAAGATACAATAGAGTCGCCACCAAACTTTATTTAGTCTCAAAGGATAGGGAAAATATCGATAAAACCCAAAGGGAAGAGAAACGAGTAAGGGGGTCGGTTATGCGAAAAGAAGGTACTAACACCTTACGTATCTGTCGTACTCGACGAGAACCATTTCAATTACTTCTAGGCTTGGATGAGTTATCTATCTAAAGGCTTCTAGCTAAAAAGAGAGAAGATATATATATATATATATATATATATATATATATATATATATATATATATATATATATATATATATATATATATATATATATATATATATATATATATATATATATATATATATATATATATATATATATATATATATATATATATATATATATATATATATATATATATATATATATATATATATATATATATATATATATATATATATATATATATATATATATATATATATATATATATATATATATATATATATATATATATATAGAGAGAGAGAGAGAGAGAGAGAGAGAGGAAAAAAAGTGCTCGCGGAGGATTGGGGCCCTCGTGCCTACGTATCCTCATGGTGCAATGAGGAATTCAGAGCTCCGTAGTTCAGAGAATTAGGATAGAGAAAGAAAAAGAAACATAAACGGTGTCAAAACCAAGAGTGAAAGGAAGAAAGCAAGACCCTATTGGGAAATGCAAGATAAGTGGTGTCAAAACCAAGAAAGGCAGGCAAAGGAAAATTCTGCTGAGGAACACAGAAGAAAAGTGATGACTCCACTGTGGAGAAAACAAAAGAATGGTGTGGAAACCAGGAAAATAAAGGATAAGAATCGAGGTAAAGAAAAGATCCACAGGGGACTCAGTGCATTAACTAGAAGGCAGTGATTAACCGAAGAAAGGTAAGAGAAATACTCTATGGGGAAAGCAAACGTTTGGTGTCAACAGCCAGCCTGTGATGAACCAGAATAAGATTAATGAACCAAAAGAAGGTGTTCGAATCTCTGGAGAAAATCGGTATGTTAACTGATAAACAATGTTTAACTGAAAAGAGAAAGGAGTTGGTCTTAACCGATAGACGATGATCAACCAAAAGGACAGGTGTGGGACCAAGCACAGGATGTGACCCAAAGGACGAGTGTGAAACAAACGAAGGTTGTGACCCAAAAGACGGTACGCTGGCTGAACAAGCAGCACCTGACCGAAGGAAAGGGTATTTGAACCATAAAAATATCCATAAAAATCAATCATATCAATCCATGGGAGTTGAATAAGCAAATAATGTCAAACACACTTGAAAAAG